TGCCCCGACCTGCTTTAGCCTTGGCCACCAGAATTCCGAGCACCAGGAAAGTGCCGAAACCGGAGGGTTTCCACGTGTCGGCCCTGGAAGGCGACGGTCGTTCGACACTTCGCCAGCGCGTCGGGCAGACGACGTTTTGACACCTTTCTGGGTGCTTGAAATTACCTCTGGGATGTGGTCCTTCGGCACGATGGGAACATAATCCTCCTCCTCCTCCTCCTCCTCCTCCTCCTCCTCCTCCTCCTCCTCCTCCTCCTCCTCTTATGGCCCGGCCAAGAGGGGGGTGATGACTAGGGTGGATATCATGGCGGGTGCCATGATACCTCCCCGGATATTTCATGGCGCCTCTTCTTATTTCGATGCGCCCCCGGCCCGCCCCTGGGTCGCGCACATGCTGCCGGCCATGATTTGCGCCCCCCCTCCCCCCCCTCTTGGCCGCCCCCCTCTTGGCCGCCCCCCTCTTGGCCGCCCCCGGAAGACTCGGAGCGGCGGCAGCTCTCGGCCAAGGAGCTTTAAGTCGGGCCTGTCCCTCTACAGGAGGAATATTCGAAAATAGTAAATAAATAGTATGGGGACGATGTTTTTAATAGTTTTGGCCATTTGGGATTATGCTTTGACTATCCTGTATTTGTCCTCCAAGATCCGCCTGCAGGGGGACATGCCCGACCTAGAAGGAGCTCTGGAGTCCGGCGGCGGCACGGCAGCGGGGGCGGGCCACGAGGGCGAGGGGCCCCAGGCAGGGCGCCGAGTGTCCAGAGAGCAGGGCGGGAGGTGGAGGCACGGGCGGGTGGCGAGCGAGGTGGGCGTTGGGTCTCCCAGGCTCCAGGCCTCCCAGATGGGGTCGGAGCAGATGGGGTCGGAGGATCGCGCCGCATCGCCGACGTATCGACGATGCTGCCCGCCCACTTCCTGGCTTGGTCCAGCACCTTCCTAAGAAGACCGCCCGTGCCACGAACCGTCGGTCGTTGGGAGAATGGTGGGTCTGGATTCCCAGACCTCAGTCTGCTTCAGGCGCCTTGCCAACTTCATTCAAGGAGCGCTCCTCCCTCGGAGGGGGCGGGCGGAAGCCCAATCTACTTCAACGCCTCCCTACCCATATTTTTACCCACGTCTTTCGACCGATGGGTTCCGTTACCATGCCGTGTCTTCGTGCAAGGTTGGATGCGGCACATGAGTTCTCCTATCCTGGACGTAGTCCCCGCTGGCCTCGTCAACAGGGTTCCCTCACGAGGCGCTGCCGGAGGCGGCGCTGGGCGTGGACCGCCCAGCGGCCTACTTGAGGCCAGCCAGGGTCCCTCCTCCGACGTCCTTTTGTCCACGGCGTCGGGCCAGTTTTCGCCGCGGGCCTCGAAGAAGAGCAGCAACTGCACGAGCATGAACCTAGGCCTCCCAGATGGGGCCGGTGTAGCTGTGGCCGAAGGGCTGCGCGCCGCGTCGCCGATGCAGTGGCAATGCCGCTCGATGCGGAGCCCGACCTCCGCCACGTCGATGGTGCCGATGCCTCGCTGGTGCCTCGCCGGTGCATCGCCGATGCATCGGCGATACGTCGGCGATGCATTGGCGATGCGTCGCGACCCTGACCCTTCGACCCCATCTGCTCGGACCCCATCGAGGAGGCCTCGAGTGTTCGGAGGCCCGCGCGGATCTCTCGGGCAGGCGCCGGATCCCCTCGGGCTCGCGCCTCCGGCGCCGCTCGCGGCGCGCGCTCCGCGCGCGCCAGGGAGGGGTGTCCCGCGCCGATGCAGGGCGTCCGCGCGGACCTCCGACAGCTGGTGTGTTTGCGGTTCTTCAGAGGAGCAGGAAATCATGGTAGGGGTGCATCCCTCAAGGGCTCCCAGGGTTTCCTCCAAGATTTCCTGCGGTTCCGCACGCGCTCATCAAAAACGAGGGTCGCTGGACTTCCTGGAACTGCCGGAGTGTATCCCGCCATTCGCATCATGACATCGTTATGGTTCTAGTTTCCCGGTGCATTCCCCAAGGGTTCCTATTTTTTCCAGGATTTCCTCTTGCTTTCCGCGCGCGCTCATGAAAAAAACGAGTGTCGCTGGACTTCATTGGAACTACCGGAGCGTAATTATCCCGCCACTCGCATCATGACCTCATCATCGCCCCCAGACATGCGACGTCCTATTTTTTTCAGGACGCCCTGGAAGTCCCGACCCGCTCTCTGGGACCGGCTTTTCATCCTGAGTCGTTTTTTGACGGTCCTGAGGCCCGGCGAGGGCCCCCCGAGGCCGAAAATGGCCAAATTTTCCCGTCCTGATTTGTTTCACGACGCGGTCTGGGTCATCTTCTTGTTATTATCATTATTATTATTATTATTATTATTATTATTCCTCTTCTTACTCTTTTTCCTATTCTTCCTGTTCTTCCTTTATATATAGTGCATTTGTTGTTCTAACTTAGGTTGTATATTCACACAACGCACACACACACACATATATATATATATATATATATGTACACAACATCTTCTTATATTAGTATTACCCGGACCCCCCCTAAACTGGATCCCCCCCCCAGGGACGCCCTGGACACCCTTTCGGACGTTTCAGCGGCCCCCTGGACGCCCTTGGAACCGGTCCTCTGGCCCTTCCGGGCCTCCCAGGGCGCCTTGCCTGGCCTTGCGATCAGACTCAAGGCGATCAAAGGGATCATCGGAGAGGCGTAAGAGAGACGCAAGACAGCACCAGAGCGCTCCAAGAGGAACCTCGATGGTCTGAAGACGGCCCAAGAGGCCCCCCAAACGCCCCAAGAGCTTGTTAAGAAAACCCTGAAAAAGCAAACATCTTCCCATTCTTCCGGGGAGATGCATAAGTTTAACATATCCACTGTTGGGGACTTCGCAGCGTCCAAAGCGGCCCGATAGGCCCCCGATATCGCTCCAAGACGGCCCAAGAGGCCCCCCAAAGGTTTTGAAGACGGCCCAAGAGGGCCCCAAGACTGCTCCAGAGAGCCCCGAGACTGCCCGCAAGAAGGCCAAGATGCCCCCAGAAGGCTCCCAAGAGAGACCCACGAAAGCCATGGGAGACCCCCAAGAAGGCCATTGGAGGCCCCCGAGGGGGCCCTAGATGGCTTCAGAAGACCTCTGGAGGGTCCCAGCTCCCCAAGAGGAGCCTGGTGCGGCCCAAGATGGCCCCAGGACGGCCCAAAAGAGCCCCCAAGACGCCCAGACGGCGTTTTCCAACTAAGCACATCGAGCTGACCCGACGATTCTGGTTCCACGCCTGAGGTTCGAGGTTTCAGTTTCTCGATCGAGAGAGACAGGCAATGGATCTAGATTCGAAGTTCGACGATCGACAATTGCCTGACTGCCTGGAGCCTTCCAGGTATTCAGGAAGCTACCAAACATCGATATGTTCGGTGCTGCTGCGACTTCTTCGGCGTGTCATGAGAACGCCCCTTACTTCCTCAAAGGACCTTCGCACGTGAAAATATCAGCATTGCTTCAGCTACTGCACACAAGCGTGCAAGCGCATCGGGCGAAGGCGGTGTCAGCAGGTACCAGGGATATCAGAAAAATGAGCCGGTCGCCCGTCCAGGCTTCGAGGTCCCCCCCGCTGAAGCAAGCGATGATTTATTGTTTTGCTGGGGAGCTTCCGGAGCAAAGCGCATGGCGCGAAGCGCCAATGCAGTCTTGTATATCTCTCTATATATACAGATATAGAAAAACGCTTCGCCAGGAGGTCTGGGTAGGCGCGGCACCCCTAAGGGTTTTGCCAGCTGGGCCAGCGCTCATTTCGATCCCTACAGTTAGACTCGATTCGATGTCGATGGATTCCGATTCCGATTCGATTCGACGTCGGATTCCGATCTGGGATCCGATTTTTCAATGGAGGCCTGCTAGCCTGCCGATGTCTGCCGATTTGACTTTTCCCGATTTGGCTGCCGATCTCTGCCGATCCGATTCGTTTCGATCGCCGATTCGACTTGTCGATTCGCTTCTGGGCTTTCCTGGCTGGGCGGACCTTGAGATCCGACGCCGCGAAACATTTCAACGCCGTCGGAAAATAACGACCCGAGCCCCGTCGAGCTCTCTCCGAGCTGGCTTCATCGCTCGGCTGCCCTCTCGCGCGTCCTCGAGCCGATCTCGTCGAGCCAAAGGAAAGACCCGAGCCCTACCGAGCCTCATCGAGCCCGATTCCGGCGTCCTGCTGATTTTTCGAGCCAGATCGACCTGTGAGGGCCCTGGGGGCCGACACCAGGCATCAACATTGACTGGCGTGGACAGCTTCGCGGCGCCCCGGCTTCAGACGCAGATTCAGGAAAACAACCATCGGGTTGGTTGGGAGGATGGGACAGGAGGAGTCCTTACCCGTAGGCGGCCGAAGGTGTCGTTCATTGCATCCGGATGCTAGTTCTCATGCCCTTCCTCCTCCGAACCCCTCCCTCCCAACACGATAGTCGTTCTCCTTGCAGATGCCCCGACCGCTCAAACTGCCGCCGCCGTCGCGTCGGGTTGAGCCGCCGCCGGTCGCCAGCCGCGGCGCTGGCGGCAGTTCGCCGTGGGGGAAGCGGGTCCTACGGGCAATAGGCAGTGAGGTTTTGGGCCGCATTCGGGCTCTCGGGGCCCTCTACGGGCCCAGGGGCTGTCAGTCAAGCGGCGGCTCAGGATGAAGAGCCCGTCCTGGGGGAAGGCCCCAGGGCTTCCCTCGGGACCCGCTGCCCCCACGCCTAGCAGCGGCGGCGGCGGCGGCGGCGGCGAAGACGACGGCAGCGTCGGCTGCGGCGACGGCGGCTGCAACGAACGGATGCGGCGGCGGCGGCGGCGACAGCAACGGCGACGGCGGCGGCGGCGGCGGCGGCGACGGCGACGGCGAAGGCGGCGGCGGCGGCGGCGACAGCGACGGCGACGGCGGCGGCGGCGGCGGCGACAGCGACAGCGACGACAGCTACCGCGGCGGCGGCGGCGGCCGCCCCGAGGGCTCCCCGCCCTCGGCCGCCGGGCCGCCGTCGCCGTCGCCGCTGGCGCGGCGGCTGGAGCTGGCGGCGGGCCTCGTGTCGGGGGCGCAGGCGCCGCCCACGGCTCGGCCACCGCCGCCGCCGCCGGCGACGACGACGTCCCTCTCCTCCGCCTCCTCCTCCTCCTCCTCCTCCTCCTCCTCCTCCTCCTCTTCCACCTCCTTTCCTCCTCCGTCTCGCTGGTATATTTGCGGACCTTCGAGCGATTTTGCGCATGCCGTTTCTTGTTCCTCTAATCCTGCATCCTGCATCCTTCGGCAGCGAGCCCAGGTGGGACGTGAGAGGAGGCAGGCCTTGTCAGAGGGCGGCGGGGCTTCTCAGGAGCCGTCGCGCCTTCCGAGAAGCCGTCCCTTCCACCGGAGAAGGCTTAGAATGCTTCGCCGAAGTTGCGACGGCTTCTGAGAAGCCCCGCCGCCTTCTGAGAGGGCCTGTCCCCTCTCGCCCCCCTCTGGCCTCGCCGCCACATCCTGCACCCTGCTCCCTGCATCCGACCGTGGGCGAACGCACTCATCCCCGTCCACGGCCTCGCGGGCCGGGCCCCTGGGCTGCGACCCCGCGGAGGCAGGGACTTCCTCGCGGATGCCCCGCGCGGAGCGCATCCGTGGGATCGCGGCCCACAGTCGAGAGCGAGAGGGCGCGGGGACGGATATGTTCGCCGCGCTCCTGCCCTCGCCGCAGAGCTCTGGCCCCCGCCGTCCGCCGCGCGCCCGCCCACAAAATTCGGCGGCGAGCGCGGGGGGGGGGAAGTGAGAAGGGGCGGGCCTTCTCACAAGGCTCAGAAGGCCTGCGGCCCTCTAAGAAGTTCTCGGAGCCTTCTCCGAAGACGCAGGAAGCCTCTGGAGAGGCCGGGGCGCCTCTGAGAAGCCCCGCCGCTCTCCGGGAAGGCCTCATCCTTCTCACTTCCCCCCCTCGCTCGCCGCCGACCAGCATCGAGAACGCGAGGGTGCCGGTACAGGGACGCGGATATATACATATATATATATATATATATATATACATACATATATATATATACGCATAGACATGTTCGCTGCGCTCCTGCCCTCGCCTCAGATCTAGGCCTCCTAGATGGGGTCCGAGCAGATGGGGTCCAAGGATCGCGCCGCATCGGCGATGCATCTCGGCGATGCGGCTCGATGTGGAGCCCGAGTTCCTCTACGCCGGCGTCGCCGATGCATCGCCGATGCATCGCCGACGTCGCCGATGCATCGCTGATGCATCGGCGATGCATATTGGATGCGTCTGGCGATGCGGCGCGACCCCCCGACCCCATGCCTGCTCCGACCCCCTCCAGGAGGCCTCGCCTCGGAGCTTCGGCCCCCGCCGCGCTCCCGCCCCCGCCTCACATAGGGGAATGACAACTGACAGAAACATAACAACTCGGAGGGCCGCGCGGATTTCTCGGATCGGCGCGGAGCGCGCCAGGGGCGGCGCCGGAGGCGCCGCCAGGGGGCTCCAGCGCGGATCCGAGACATCCGCGCGGACCTCCGAGTTTTGATGTTTATGTCATGGTTCGCTCCCCCAGCTGAGCTTCGGCCCCCGCCGCCCGCCGCGCGTCCGGCGGCCCAATGCAGCTCCCCCGGCGCCCGGCCCTCGGCGCGCTGCTGGTGGCCGCCGCCGCGGCGCGGCAGCTCGGGCGCCGCCCCGCGCCCGCCCGGGGCGCCCTGGCGCCAGAGCGGGCGAGCGCCCATCGGAGGGCGCCAGCCATGTTCGAGGGGCAGCGTCAGGGGGAGGGGGGGGCGAGGCTCGAGGGGGGGGGGTCGAAGTGAGGGGCTTTCGTGAAGTCGGGCATGTCCCTCCACAGGAGGAATATTCAAAGATTCAAAGTCAGTCTAAAATTTAGTCTGGGGATGCTTTTATTGCATGTTTTAAAATAGTCTTTCAAAATCCGCCTGTAGGAGGACATGCCCGACCCAAGTCTTGCGGGCGTCAGCGTCCGTTCTCGGCGGTTTTCCAGCCTTGGGGCGTGTTCCAGCAGCTGCGCCTCGCCGAGGGCGCTCCAGGGGTGCCCGGATGGCCCAGAACGACCGCCGGAGAGCCGAGTTAGGGCCGGAGAACCACAAGGGGGCACGTGTACACTCGAGGCCCCCCCCAAATCAGGCGTTCCAGGAATGAGGACAGCACAAGCTACCCCCACCCCCAGCCAGGACCCCCACTCCCACCCTGGTGATCAAGAGGCCCTGGCTGGCGGTGAAGTTCGGTTTTTGGCCCTCAAGAGCCTAAAGTGACACCGTGACACCCCGCCCGCCCTCAGCCGGGACCCCTGGCGGGAGTGGGGGTCCTGGCTGGGGGTGGGGGGGAAGGTTTGTACTGTCTAGAGAAGGGGCCTCAACCTCGAGGACCGAAGGAGTTGCCATCTCTTCCGCTGCAGAAGGTGGCGTAAGGGCGGCGGATAAGCCTCGACGGCTCGAGTGAACATCAGCGTGCTCATTGCGTGCTGGGCCGCAAGTCCCAGCCCGACGCGCGACCGTACTCCCACCCCGCCGCGATGGGCGCCGCCAGGCTCTCGTGAGGGAGACGTTCGACATCTCCGGGACGGTCGGCGAGGTGAGCGCTGGACGGCAGCTCGCCCGTCTGGGACCCATCATGAGTGGAGGTCATGTCCGCAGGGACCGATGGGGGGCATGAGCAAAAGGGAGGCAAGAGGGCCCTCAGACGGGCTGTGCATGCTTCAAGACTAACAGGGCAAGTGTGGTACCACGTCATGAGGTACACTCGAGCCACGGCTGCTGCGCGTTTCTCAGTCAATCAAGTGCTCCAGGAGCAAAACCACCTCCGCTTCCCGTCCCAGGTGCGACACCAGATCAAAGACTCGGTCCTGCATCCCCAGCGGCCATAGGCGCAGCCATGCATGCTCGTCGTCAACGTCGCCGAGCTCATCGTCACTCCCAGCCTTTTTTTTTTTTTGGACCTACAGCTGTGGAAGCCTCGTCCCTGCAGACCGACTGGCAGAGGTCCTCAGGTTTGCGCGAGACAAGAAAGTTGCGGTTGTCAGTTTTCAAAGTACCCTCATGGAGCTCGGTATCCCATGGGCCACTGAGGGCTATCGTATTACCACGACCCCACATCCATAACCTGTTCAGATGGCTGCATCATTGCTCTTGATATTTGGGTATCTGCCCTGTCAGAACTTTGTGTATCCCATTAACTGATAGCTGGAGGACTTCACGGAATACGCCTTGCACGCGTACAGGCCCACGAGAGCGATATATTTACATTTTGAGTGTATACGCACCGCTGAGTGAATTTAGCCACGCCAGGGTCGGATAAGACAATCACCTGAGGACTGTGGCACATCCTGAGTTCCAGAACAAGTTCTGGGATGCCTTTAGAGCAACCCTGAAGCAATTACCTTAACGAGTCCCTTGCGGCGACGATGGGCGCGAACGCTGCTGCGTCCCCTCATTTCCCACGCGCGGGCAATGTTGGCCAACGCCGCCAGTGCGCCGCCACGAACATAAATGGCACTCGCCTTCTGGACTTGCTTTAGAGATTCCAGCTGGCCGCTTTCGACGCGTTTGTGAAAAGCAGAAGGCAGAATGGCACGTGGGAGCATAATGTCGGCGACGGGTGGACGACGATTGACTATGTATGCGCGAGGTTGAGTGGCTCCAGCGGCATCGAGGCTACCCCTCTCCGTGACCTTCCCGTCAGTCTTGGTGGCCATCGAGATCGCCGACCAGTGGAGGCGTGCGCAAATGCTGGTATGAGGGCCAAGTGAGTTCCACACCCGAGGGCAGACGGATGGGGCCGCGACGACCTAGCCGAGGATCTTCGTCTAATGCGAGACGAGCGCGGCGACGTCCCCAGCCGCGTCGAGACCGCGCGCGCCCATCTTTACGACTTCATGCGACAGCGTAGGCTCGCAGACTTGTGGGGCGCCATCTGCGGAGAGGGCCTGCTGCGTTCGGCGCCGCCCGACTACTTCAACATGCTGGAACGTGCGCCGATCGAGGCGGCGGCGCCGCGTCGCGTCCTCCAGCCGAAGAAGATTGCCGTGCCCGAGCTGACAGGCGAGACCGAGGCGCGAGTCAAAGCCTCGAGCACCATCTTCGACGGCGCGATCACCGACGCGGCTAGCGCGGGTGGACTGCTGGGCCCCCCCCCAGGATGGCGCGCGCATTGGCGCCTGCGGCGTCGATGGCGCATCGAGGGCCATGTGTGTGATGCCGCACTTCAAGAGCGCCCCTGTCCTCGAGATGACCCCGCCCGACGCCGAGAGCGCAAATCTTGGTGCGCGAGGTTCGACGCGGCCTGCGTTTTGCCCAAATCCTGACTTGGCTGGTTCGGCGTCGCCCACGTTTTGATTTAATCATAGTTTCCCAGGTTCGGCGTCGCCCGCGGTTTGCCAGGGTGGCACTGCCGCGCCCTGCGATGGGTCGGTCACTGAATTCTGGAAATTATGCGTTGACAAAGATGCCCCAGTCCTCCATAATGGATTTCGAGCTTGCCAAGCCCTCGGATATTCAGCCCAGCGATTTACAGATGGCGACACCCCGTCCCTCAGGAAACCGAGCGGAGACGGCGAGTGCGCCAAGGACCAATGCAGAACGATTAACTGGATCAACCATATCGATGAGGTGTAAATGATCGTAACGGTGGTGCCCGAACTCAGAGGCCGCGTCCAACTTGTCGCGTTCGCAGTTCGGGGCCATGGCGGGCCGCTCCACGCGAAACGACCTAGCTGCGGTCGCCGAGGTCATTCGACGATGCCGCCTGCGCGGTCGCACCTCCGAACTCGGCTCTGGCGCTATCCATGGGGTGCCGTTGGCAGTGGCCATTGACCATGAGAGGGACTTCGGCGCTATCGAGACGCGACATGGGACGCCCTCGAGGGTTTGGGCGCGAAGCGACTCGCGCGCCGCAGTGGAAGGGCTTCGCGAAGGAACGCGTTGCATCGCCCGTGACATCAGAACGAATCGGCTCAGCAGCGACTCATGCCGGAGGGTCTCAGACAAGGGGGCGCGGAAGGCCCGCTCTTATTGGCTGCTGTGTGCGACCTCCTCGCGCCCGAGCTCGAGCGTAGCCGGTCTATCTCCGAGTTCCCAGAAGTGCGCGTCGTTTTCGACCCGGAATTGAAAACTATTCGACATATCAGCGCGACCTTTCGGGCATGGTGGGGTGGGGTGGGGGGGGGGATCGTCGCGTCGCTTATCCAATTCGTCGATGACCTGGTCGCCTTTGGGATCGTCGAAGTCTTCGATTCAACCACTGAGTTCCTCGCCTTCCTGACGGGCGAAATCTCGAAGGGAGAAGGGATGTGAGCGATGCGGAAGGCGAGGCGTTGGCCGCCGCGACAGGCGAAAGAAGCAGGCCGCGCAGAGCCGCGCTACGAGCCGAGCAGATCGACGTCAACATGCGCGCTACCCCCGTACATGCCACCCCTAGCGCGAAGTACCCCGGAGCTAAACAACGGGGCGCCAGCGCGATGGCGGAGGGGGTGGCTCACGGGGTCCAGGGAGGAAGCGCAGGGCCTCGAGATTGTTCTCGTGGGTGCGCGTGATCTTCGTCGGCTCGAGTGCTGGCAAACTCACGAACTCCGTTATCTCGCGCGCTCTCCTGCCCATGTTCACCGCGTCGGCGACGCAGAGGTCAGGGGGCTCGCGCGCGTTGCGAGGGTGGCCTCTGCGCTGCCCGAGCGTCGCCTTGCCTGGTGGACGGGTTCTTGGACCCGCTTTCCCCGACCTCGTGGAGAACATGTGCCAGGGCTCGGAGGGGCCCCCGCAGGGCCCAGGGGAGCTCGGGGACCCAGATGACCGGCCCCAGAACCCAAAGCGCGACCCCGCCCGTCTGGTTCGGGCCGTTTTTTTTTGCCGCTTTAATTTCGAGGGGCCACACCATGCAGGAGTCAATTTTCTTCTGGGGCTCCATCGAGAAGACCTGAAGCAGCCCTGGAAAACGATGCCCCCCTCTGGGCCCGGCAAGAAGCCCGCGGCGTCAGTGACCTCGGCGACCCCGATTCCGCCCCGACCCACCCGTGGCTCCGATGGCTTTGCCGCGCCCCTCGCCCCCATCCTCAACGAGCGCGAAGACGCGCGACGGATGGCGAAGCGAAGATGGCCGCAGGAGAAGCCCCCGCCCAAGATCCCCAGCGCCCTCGTATGCGTCAGGGCCTTACAGGCCTCGCTAACCATGCGTTTTCGGTTCGCCAGCAGACCCCGCGGGTCTCGCGGGTGACTGGCTGAGATCTCTGAAGGGCCCGGGATGCTTCGGCGCGATCAGCCGAGGGGGTGCGCTTGTTCGCCGCACGCAGCGAAACAGATGCCATGCCCCCCCGCTGTCGGCGACTCTGGGCCCCGCGGGTGCCGTGCCAGATCGCCCTGGCCCCTCGGCTCCGCCTCCTTGGCATTCAGGCCATGTTCGCCCCGGTCGCCGAGATTTCGAACGGAGTCAAACACGTTGCCGGCGCCAACGGCGAGAAAGAGGTGCCAGCCTCCAACGTCAGGCTCCAGCGCCTGATGCTCCGCCTGCTGCTCCAGCGCGAAGCCGCCCGCCAGTCGGCAGCGCGAGACGACGACGCGACGCTGGCCTTGAAAGAAAGCCAGAATATCGAGGTAGTCTTTGGGGCGGGCATCCGAGGGCACGTCGAGGCAGGAAAGGTCGCCCGCGATGGCGACGACTTCAAGTGCCACCCCAAGGGCAAGACACCAGACGCGCTCCTGGACATGTTTATTCGGATCGTCGAAGCCGCCGCCAACGGCCGCGAGAAACATATGAAAGCCATATAACAAGGACCCTACCCAAAGGTGCTGCAGAAGCCGCGGGCGCGCTGGAGAAGGGGGGGGGGCTGCGTTCCGAGCCCAGATGTCGTGGTGAAGGCTGCCGGTTGCTTCGCGGTCAAGTTTAGGGCGAGGGTCAGGCGCGCTGCGTTTGGGCTTGAAATCTACTCGCCGACCTGCAGAGTGCGCTGGCGGTGCTGCGCCTGAACGGAGGCGTGGAGTCGGTGAGTGTCCAGCTCGGTCACGATAGCAGCCCGAGGTCGAACTTCGCCAAACATAGCGAACAGCTCGCGTTCAAGGAAAAGACCACGGGCGGCAATGCCGATTGCAAGCAGAAGAAGCCGAGGAAGCGCAAGAGCCGTGGCCCCCCAGGCCGCGCGCAGCCATGATCCGCCCAGACGCGCATCATTATTCATTTTGTTGGATATGTTTAAGCGACAGAGGACCACGTGCTAGAGTATTGCGTGGCGGCAGCCACGTGAATGACGGCCAATACTTCATGCACCCCCCCTTCGTTGTGTTGTGCCTGTGCTTCCGCCCCTCCCTCTTTTTACGTGACCCAGCGGCGCTTATCTGATCTGGAGTCCTTGGCTGACCTCACTACTGTGTGCGAGTTCGTGGAGAGGACCGTGCACGACAATGCGGTCGAGGGTATAACCTGAGGCCCCGCTGCCGCCGCCGCTGTCCCGCGTCGCCCCCTTTCGCCTTTTCTCCCTCACCGGTCTCGCGCCCTTGAGTTTTCGAGTTTGGGGAGCGCGGCCCCTTGGCCTCAGAGGGGGGCCGAGGGCTGCGCTCGCAGTGCCGCCTCCGCAGAGGCGGGGGTGCGCGAGTGTGAAGCTCTGGCTACCCTGGTCTCGGTCGGTTTCAGTTTGACCCCACGCGAAGCGTCCTATTCAGAGTGCTTGGGCGCATTGGGTTGAAAAAAGAGGCGGCGGAAGGCCGGGGGCAGAAAAACGTGAGAGGCTCTGCCAGCGGAAGCTGGTGGATGGCCAGCGGCAGCCAGCGGAAAAGGTAAAATATGAGCCCCAGAGAGGGGCGGGTGAGCTCGGGGGGGGCGAAGTTTTCTTGCGTTTTCGTTGGTTCGCGCTCGAAGCCCTGAGCTTGGCATCGAATGGCATGAAGAATTCTGAGCACGCCGCCGACCAGGGGGCCTTCAGAACTCGTCCTGGAAGGCCTTCGCGGGGAAGGCCTGCACGATGGTCTTGGCCAGCTTCGCCTTCACCGTGACGTCGAGCTTCGGTGGTTTCCCAGCTTTGGAATGCGTTTCAGCAGGCGCGCCTCGCCGGGGACTTTCCGGGTGCGTTCAGATCGCCCCGAAAGGTCGCCGGAAGCGTTCGTCATGGCCCGAAAATCACCAGGGACGGGGATAGGCCCAAGGGGGGAATCCATCGAACCCCAAGCACCCACTAACCGCCGGTAGGGGCCCCATACTCCACCACCCCCCAGGAACGCGCGGGCTTGCCATCGGGGGCCGATGGCCGACCAATCGCTGATGTATCGCCGATTCCAGGGCGATGTTTTTCCCCAGGGCCGGCCCCCCCCCCCACCGGACGTTTCCCTTCAGGCACGTGTGCAATCCAGGCTCCCCCAAAGGGGGTCCGAGCAGGTGGTGTCGGAGGATGGCGCCGCATCGCTGATGCATCGGCAGTGCGGCTCAATCGTGCGACCCCAGCTGCTCGAGCCCCATCTGGGAAGCCTTCGTCCGCTGGCCCTGGAAGCCGCCTGCGACCCGATTCGATGCGGTTCGCTTTGTTCGCCAGTCGGGGCTGCGATTTCCCGATGCGGCTCGGCTCGCCAGTGCCAGCCGTGGCGGGTCGTGGTCTGGCGCGGCGATCCGGTTCCGATCCGATTTGGGACGGTTCGTTGGTGACCCGATCCGTTTCCGATCCGCTCCAGCTTCGCGCTCCGGCTTCGCGCGTCGGTCCAGTGCAGGCTTTCCTTGGCAGGGCCCATATTGGGTCAAGAGCGGCCAAACGAGGAACAACTGAATACCCGTCTGTCGTTGAAAGTCGGTATTGTTGGCACTGCCAGATCCCAATTTTCCTTTGGCCGCCTTCCTACTTCAAAGATCGAGTGGTTTTCCCTCTTCCCTCCTGTTCAGGTGGCGGGCGGAAGCCCAACCTACTTCCAACGCCTTCGTACTTCATGTTTCTACCCATCTCTTCCTACCGACGTGTCTGGTAGTCTGTTGCTCCTCTGGGCGAGTATACGCCCTCTGGGCCAGGCCTGGCTGGAAAGGCATGCGTGTACCGATTCTGATGCCAGGATCCGCGCGGCCAGAGCCGGTGCGCCTGGACATGGGTGGCGCCTTTCGGGAGCCAGACCTGCGACGCCGTGTTTTTCCCGGTGAGGGCTCTGATCCGGGATTCAGTTTGTGCTCTGGAGGGGTTCGACGTATAAGCCGCGCCGTTTACTCGGCCAGTGAGCCACGCAGCTCGGCGAAGGAATTCGGTGTATAGACGCTCCAGCATCCCACGGGGTGGACAGCTGTGGCGTCAATACACCGAGCGCCTTGGCCCACGAGACTGTGGTGTATACATCGAGCCCCTCCCAGTGCTGCTGGGCCTGACACACGCAGCCGACTTCTGACCTTACACACGCAAACGAGCGTGCGATGAGGGTGGGGGGCGAACAATGCGTCTGGCACGCGTGCAGTTCGCACGCGCTTCCACGTGTGTAGACGTCAGGACGCCGAGGGGGGGCTCCTCATGCGGCTGGTGGGTTCCTGTCATGTAGGAATATGCGTGTGCGGAGTGGGGGACTCCAACGTGCGCTCGGCAAGCGAGCGTTCGTCGCGTCCTTTCATGTCTGTAGGCTCCCAGGTAGTCATCCAGCATGGGGCCGGCGGATGCTTGACACCCGAAAGTACGTGCGAGGACGGGGGGTATCTAAAACGTGCCCGGCACACTTGCATGCGGCACGTGCTTTCACGCGTGCAGGCGCGGTGCGGCAGCCGCTTGGCGTCTGGCGGGGAACGTGCGGTTGAAGCGACGCGCCGTATCGCCACCTCAGAAGAAGAGGAGGGATGAAGTGGAGCAGGAGGAAGTCGGGAGCAGGGGGTGGAGCAGGAGGGAAGAGTGAGGAGGGAGCAGGAGAAGAGGAGCAGGAGTCAGGAGGTGGAGGAGGGAGGAAGAGGAAGAGGATGAATAGGTGGGTTGGGAAGGCGCAGGAGGAGAAAGGAATAAGGGACGATGGGAGGAAGGGGGACGAAGATGAATTCGGAGGAGGAGGAGGAGCAGAAGGAGGACGCGACGGATGAAGAGAGGTAAGGGCGGGAGAAGCGTATACACTGGAAACATTACAAAAACGAGTCGTATTCCCTATGTCGCCGCGCCGTGTTCCGACGCGCGGTCTTCCGTCTTGGAGAGGGCGCCTAGGCCACAAGGGCAAACGCCGCCTCGTGCGCGGTGGGTTTGCCGTGGGTTTGCCGTGGTGCTGGCCTCGTCCACCTTTGCGCGGCGCGCAGGGCTTGCCGTGGGTTTGCCGTTGTATCGGCGTCGTCCACTTGGGCGCGTCGAGAACGACGGCGCGGCGACATATGGTAGCTTGCCACGATGTAGCATGGTGTGTAATAGGAAAGGGATTACACAACATATCGCAGCACATAATATTATACCACATAATGGCACAACACGCGCATGGATAACATGATACTATAGTTTAAAACAAATCCTTAACATGTTATTCGTGGGCCTGTCAAGTTTGGCAGTACCGGCTCGCTTTCATCGGATACATTGGGAACATCAGATAAGAAACGGTCCTGCCAGCAGCTGCCCTGCGGACATTTCTTATCCCTCGATGGCCCTGGCGACCCGCAGAAGGGCGACTCGCAGAAGCGCCGGGCTACTTTCCAGAAGGCGTCAAGATCGACAAGCGTTTCGTGTTCGAACATTCAGGGCTTCTTACTTGGCTTATGACGAGACCCAGGTCCACCTCGCCGCCGCCTTGTTGCCGCCCTGTTTCCGGCCCGTTGCCGCCTCGTTGCCGTTTCGTTGCCGCTCCGTTGCCTCCCCGTTGCCGCCCCTTGGCCCTACTGATGGCACCCGGTAGATCACACTCCATACATTCCTTTGGTTCGCAAGAGTTGGACTCTACCGCTGTTGGGGATCTTTCTAGGCACGATCGTTTTTCGTTGTTTCAGAGAACGCCATGCCAACTATCGCGTTATCGGTTCCCCCCCTCGCCCGTGCCAAATAGTACGATGCGGTGCACACGCGCTGGTATAACAAGTCAAATGACACCATGCCGGCCGCTTGTGCGCGCACATGTATCACCCCATCCCCAAACCAATGCTGCCAATTTATTCGAAGCCACATCCATCGACAGCCTTTCGTCTTGCAGCAATCAATGTCATCTGCCGGTGCGCGCGAACTAGATGAAGCCAGGCCGCCACACTTTGTTTCTGCCGCTCTGTCAGAAGAGACCATGCGGGCCGGGCGTGCGCGCATGTCGACATCATCCAGCGATCATCGCGCACCCGCCAGCGCTGCCAAGTGATACAATGCGGGACGCAAGCACGTGTCTCCGCGCGCACGGCGAGATCCTTTCAACGCGCTCGGTTTTCAAGCCTTGCAGCACACACTTGTCTTCGACGACTGTGCGTCCCAGCGCTTTTCCGTGGCGCGCCACTTCCCCGTCGTCGTCATCAGCACCAGCGTTATCGTCCTCGCTATCGTCCTCACAGTCGCCATCCATCTTCATCACCATCACCACCGTCGTCGTCATCCCCGCCGTCGTCATCAACATCATCGTTGTCATCGCCATCGTCGTTGTCGTCGCTCCCGTTGCACAATATTCACCACCTCGCCCGCCCGAGTCAGGGATCTGCTGGAGAACGGCCCTCGCGTCAAAATCCCAGTCGGCTTTTGCCAGCAGGTTGTGTGTTTAGATGGGTGGGTTATTTCCTTGTTCAGCGGAGTTGATTACGAACGTTAGCCCACGGATTGCTCTTCTCAAGTCGCACCCCGTGGAAACATTTCCGTCGACTTTACTGCCATACCGAGGTCGGGGCCGAAGGCTGGAAATGCGGGTTCGGGTTCTCCTTGTGGGCCCCCTTTTGGCACCGTCCGGGGGCCTTTTGGGGCCGTGATCGGGGTTTCTGTGACGGTCAAGGGACCTTTGTGGGCCGTAGGGGTCTTCGAGGCCTCTGAGGCCCTCTTGGAGGCCTCTTGGGCAGTCTTGGAGGCCGCTTAGGGGCCTCTTGGGCCATCTGGGGCCATCTTGAGGCCGTCTTGAGGCCATCCTGGGTGCCGTCTTGAAGGCATCTTGGGGCCATTTTTGACATCTTGGAGGCCATCTTGGCCGTCATGCAGGCCATTATGGGTCATCTAGGAGCCATGTGCAGGCCATCTTACGCCATCTTTGGTGCATCTTGGGCCGTCTTAGCCGTCTTGGAGGCCATCTTGGTCGTCTTGGAGGCCTGTTGGGGCCCTCTGGGGGCCGTTTTGGGGGCCTCTTGGGCCGTCATGGGGCCATCTTGGAGGCTCGTGGGCGATCTTGGGGCGATCTTGGGGCGATCTTGGGGGTCTCGTGGGCCGTCTTGAGCCGTCGGAATGCCCCCGAGAAGCAAACGCCAACATCTCTCAAAGACATTAGGAAAATCACTGATTTTGATCTCGTCGGGTCCTCCTGGATGACCTCTTGGAGGCCTCTTGGGCCGTCTTGGAGGCCTCTTGGGAGCCTCATGGGCCGTCTTGGGCCATCGTGAGGCTATTCTAGGCCGTTTTTGGTGCATCTTGGGCCGTCTTGGAGGCATCCTGGGGCCATCTGACCCGTCTTGGAGGCCATCTTGGCCGTCGTGGAGGTCTCTTGGGACCCTCTTGAAGCCGTCTTAGGGGCCTCTTGGGCCGTCCTGGGGCCATCTTGGAGGCCTCGTGGGTGATCTTGGAGCGATCTTGGGGGCTTCTTTGGCCGTCTTGATTCAAACACCATTGGAAAATCCATGATTTTGGGCTTTTCGGGCCCTCCTGGAGGACCTCTTGGAGGCCTCTCGGGCCGTCTTGGGCCGCCTTTGGGCGTTTTGGAGGCATCTGGGCCGCCTGGATGCCATCTTGGGCGCCTTGGAACGATCATTCGACGATTCGGGGCCCTCTTGGATCGTCTTGGGGCCCACTTTGGGCCCTCTTGGCCTGTTTTGGAGCCCTCTATGCTCCCATGACGCGTTCGGGCCGGGCCCCGGGGGGGGGGGTCACATTGCCGGTTTGGGGTCCCCAGGGGGGGCAAGGGGGCGGGAATAATCTCACACGCCTAGAGACCCACAAGGGGGCGGCGGACGTCTAACAGACCTTGTTTCCAGCGAGTGGCAAACACCAGTTCTCAGTCACCAGTGTCCAATCCGTCAACAGTGCCAGGTATTTGTGCGCGCGTGCTCGTTGAAGTCAGACATTCAGTGCGTGAATTACCTACCCCGCTTTCGCTTCCAGGCAAAACCAAGTCATACCACGCGCCTCCTCGTCAAGCGGTCTGACCAGTACAGGCCGTAATTTGTCATCGTTTGGTATCTCTTGGAAGCGAGGGTGGTCAAAAGCGAGGTAGGTTTGTTGTCCCCCTAGACCTGACAGTAGTCTTCTTCACGGTGCGCAGTGAGACTGCGCGGGCCGCGCGCTCGCACGTCGGACTCGTGCGATCGTCTCCGCGCGCCTGCCACCTCTGTCGGAGAAGACCATGTGGGCCACACGCGCGTGCCCCCGCGAGCGCGTCGGCACCTGTGCAAAGCCTCTGGGTGGATCACGCATTTCTCAACGGGCGAAGAACGGTATAGCATAAACTTTTTCGCCGTCGGGGACACCTGTCCCAGGGCGGCTGGAAAGTTTATACCCTTACGGTGGCACCGTAGGGGTATAGATTTTCCAGCCGCCCAGGGGCAGGTGTCCGCGACGGCGAAAAAGTTTATTTTATACCGTTCTTCGCTGGCTGAATTTCAGTAGACGTGTGTGCGTTCAAGACGGATGGGGCCCTCCAGCGCCAAAGTCTGCTGGAGTTTCTGAGCGCGCGCGTGTCTTCACTGTTCTTACCAGGGTCACCATCGCCGGCGTGAGTACTGCCATCGTCATCATCATCGCCATCGTCTTCACCACTGCCACCAACGTCGCCTTCATCATCACCACCGTAGCCATCATTGTCGCGATAGTCATCGTTGCTGTCTTCGCCCTCGTCATCATCATCCCCACCGCCTTTATCATCTTTATCGTCGTTGTTGTCGTTGTCGGTGTCGTCGACATCATCATTCGCCCGCTGGAGTCATGTATTTGCAGGGCAAGAGTCATTTCGTTTTCGCGTCATCTGATTGTTGTCAAGCAGTTGTGGGTGGGTTGGCGAGGACTTTCAATATGACAGTCCTCCTTTGGAAAGGAATGGAACTCGACTCCCCGCTGGGGACACGGTTATCCCCTCGCCTCCGCGTGTTGCGTTTTCGTATGTGTTTTGCACGATCGTTCATCGTATGCATCACATGTGCGCGAGCCCTCACTTGCGCATGGCAACGTGATGCAAAAGCTAGGGGGGCTCTCTTGCACACGCAGAACACTGCCAACACACATCTGCGCAGCCACTGCCGGCACGCGCTTTGCAGCACAGGGGTGTCACATTTCCGCGCTCGCACGGGTTGAAACCACTCGTCAGAGACCCGAATCATCAGGGGTAACTCGGGTCAGGGCTAACTCGGGTTCGTTTTTCGGGAATCCGAACCCGAGTTGCCCAGGGCCCGAGTTACCCCAGATACCTCGGGCGTCCAGAGCCCCAAATCATCAGGGATGATAACTCGGGTCAGGGCTAACTCGGGTTCGTTTTTCGGGAATCCAAACTCGAGTTACCCCGGGCCCGAGTTACCCCGAATAACTCGGGCGCCCAAATTCGAGAGCCACGTATGTGTTCGCCGTTCCGTTTTGCCAAATGACACCACGCGCAGCACACGCGCAGCGCGCATGTATCGCACACGCTGTAAGGCATAAAATCTCACCGCACGCCCGCCCAACCTCTGGTCGAGCACGCCAGCTGCGAGGGCCACGCGTGCCGGCCCCTGCGCGTGCACGTGGAGCTCGTGGCAGCACAGCTTTTCTTTGGTGTCGGGGTTAGACAGACCTCCTACCCTGACACGTCGATTAAGGAATTGGCCGTTTTCGGTTCGCGAGAGGGCGTCGCGGCCGTCATTTTTGCGGGTCCAGGTCCGTCGGTTTCGGTCCCAGGCCGTTTTCACTAAGGGGAGGTCTACTAAAGGGAGGTTTGTCCACCGCCGATGGTATTCTGGGCTTCGAAACGCGCAGGCGTTCGCACGCGAGCGACAAACCAATGTGCCAACGTTTCGGGATTTCTCCGCGAGCGCACTTCCTCACCAACCTTTACCGACACCTGTCGGCGTCATCAGTGCCATCGCAATCATCAAAACCACCGTCATCGTCATCATCGCCACGTTTGGTTATCATCGTCATCGTCGATGTCGTCGCCCTCGTCGTCATGTTGCTGCGCTCGCCATTACCATGACCACCACCACCACCACCATCATCATCATCATCATCATCATCATCATCATCATCACAATCATCATCATCATCATCATCATCAGCATCATCATCATCATCATCATCATCATTATCATCATCATCACGATCAGCATCATCATCATCCTCTCATCAACATCATCATAGTCATCAGCATCTTCATCATCATCATCATCGTAATCATCATCTCCATCATCAGCATCATCATCATCATATCCATCTTGATTTTCATCTCCATCCTCATCTTCACCACCTTAATATTATTAATCATCACCATCATCATCACCACCATCATCATCATCAACATCATCATCATCATCATCATCATCATCATCATCATCATCATCCGCGTCGTCGTCACCGATGTCGTCACTGATTCGGCGGTCATCACTCGCCCGTCCAAGTCATGTATCTACATGAGCAGAGGCCGCCCGTCACTGTGACACTTGAGAGGTTGGACGGTTGCTCGAGCAAGGGAGGTGGTCACGCATGGATGATCACAGCTAGGTGTACCCCAGGACGCACTCCATATATTGCGTTCCGTCGATTTCGCTTCTGTTGCCGCCTGCAGATTGTATATCGTCACTATTTTGGGGTCCCAGCGCTGACATCGTTCCCTTCAGCAAGGTTTTTCATCGTGTGTACGTCGCCGTGCCGTTTGTTCCGACGCGCGGCCTTCCTCTCGGGGAGGGCGCCGCGGCCACCATGGCAAGCGCCGTCTCGGGAGGGGCTTGCCGTGGGGTTTGCCGCGGCGCCAGTCGTCTGGTTGGGCGCGGGGCGCAGGGTTTGCCGTGGCTCTGCCGTGGTGTCGGCTTCGTCCACTTGGGCGCGTCGAGAACCACCGGCGCGGTGACATATCATTGATTGGCGCCAACATCGCAGAGCGGATTTCGTGAGGAGAATGTCGTTCCAGATTTCGAAATTTGTTTCGTGCGGATTTCTTCTGGCCAGGAATGAAGATTACAAAAACTCCACGTGAAATTCACATCGTTTTCTGCTCGCCGTTTCGGGGGTTTTGCACTGACAGAAATCCACGCAAAAGAATCCGCTGCAGCACGTCTGCAAAGTCGGTGCAGTGATATCACGTGTATCAAGGGCGTAAAAAAACGACCCTACCCTGGTTTATGAGGCGCTGTGCGCTGAACCTCCTGCTGGCTGAAAGGGTAAGCCCTGCGAGTCGCGCGTGCCGCGCGGCGTCCTGGCGGCTCTCTGGCCTGTGGGAGCTCCCAGGAGGTGCACCGACCACGCGCTCGTAATCCAGGGTAGGGGCGTTTTTTACACTCAAGTGTGCACACTCCCAGGGGGCCATCTCTTGCGCGCCGAGCCATCGGAACGAGGGCGCCAGCGCGGGAGAAACTGCCTGGCCAGGCTCCCATGGCGTCGGAGGTCTGGGGAGAGTCCGGCGGAGGAGTTCCTGCAGGGGCAGGACTCGGCCGACCGCCGCTCCAGGGACCCCGCCGGGTCGGAGCCAGGCTTCTTTATGATGTTCCAACCTCCTCCTCCTCCTCCTTCTCCTCCTCCTCCTCCTCTTCCTCTCTTCCTCCTCCTCCTCCTCCTCCTCCTCCTCCTCATCCTCCTCCTCCATTCCTTGTCCTTAAACATAAGTTCTCCCTGTCGCACTCCGAGGCCAGTTTTTAGGGCGGGCCGGGCGTTTCGTCCGAGACTTCCTGACCATTTTTTGCTCTGAAGCTTACACAGTGGCAACAGTTTCACAGATGGAGGGTGGGTCGTTTTCAAAATGTGGCTCTCGCCTTAGCGCGGCGCACATTCGTTTTTTCTCAGATTCGCAAGAGCTTCGCGGATTGAGGGCGGGTGGTTTTCAACATGTGGCTTTCGCTTTAGCGCGGCGCACATTATTTTTTTCAGAATATTTGCAAGAGTTTCACGGATGGAGGGCGGGTGGTTTTCAACATGTGACTCTCGCCTTAGCGCGGCGCACATTCGTTGTTAAAATTGCTAAAAGTTTCACGGGTCGAGGGAGGGTGGTTTTCAACATGTGGTTCGCGTCTTACGGCGCACATTCGTTTTCGAAGTTGTGTCAGACATGGTGTTCTGAAAGGATTCAGAATTATGTGGGTGCAACAGTTATGTTGATTCGCTGTGTTGAAGTTCCAGGAATGGTGTTCTGGCACGATTCAGGATTGTCAAGAAGCAACAGTCAGGTTGACCCGTGGAGTTGGAATCCCGAGAACAATGTTTTGGCATGCTTCAGGGTCTTCAAACGGTTGTCTTCCAAAGATGCAGTTCCTGCAATGGAAATGAACCGTTGTAGTGGTCTATGAAGAGGGAGCTTGGAAGGACGGTTTATTCCAAAATCGTTTGTGACTCTTGGGTTTGCACTGGTCCTCCTCCTCCTCCACCTGCTCCTCCTCATCTTCCTCCCCCTCCCCCCTCCTCCTCCTCCTCCTTCTCCTCCCCCCTGTCCTCCTCCTCCTCCTCCTCCCTCTCCTCCTCCCTCTCCTCCTCCTCCTCCTCCTCCTCCTCCTCCTCCTCCTCATCCTACTTTAGCCATCGGTGGTTGAAAGTAGGTATTTTTGGATTGACATATTCCAGTCTAGTTTTGGCGCCTTCCTACTTCAATGGTCGAGTGGCTTCAACTTTCCCATCCTCCTCAGGGAGCAGATGGACACCCGTTTCGGCACTTTCTTTTGGGTGATCGGAATTGTTTTCGGGATGTGGTCCGTAAGTACGACGGGGACAACCTAGCCCAGGCTACGTTTATCCGGACTACCCCGCCGTCGTCACTGCTGAGGAGCGCAAGGCGGCCGAGCCGTCGTACAACTACAGCAGGTACGACCTCAATTGGCGTCACGAGTACGGGGAGCGGGCCTCCGCGGACGGCGGCCAGACCGGCTACGACTTTGCGCCCACGCCCGGCGACGAGGACTACGCGGATGAGCTGCACAAGCGGGTGCGCAACGAGAGCTACGGGGACCACCGCGAGCCGAACACGGGGCCCAACTTCTGGCCGGGGCCCGCGCAGTGGCAGGGGCGGTGAGCCGGGAGGGGGAGCGCGCCGCGGTCGCGGTGGGCCGGCCTCGGGCGCGGTGGGGCGCGGCCGGGAGAGGAAAGGCAGCAGCCGTCGCATAGGTTCCCCTCCTCCGCCCTTCCCTTGCTTCGGTTTCAGAGCACGGGAGCCCCGTGTAATTTCCCTCGCAGTTCCGTCTTTAGATTGCGCTTGCGTCGGTTCGCGTCTGGTGATCGATGACGACTTCGCGCCAACAGGATGGTACGGGAGGCTCCCCACGAGTTGCCACCGGGCCCTGCGCAGAAGCCTGCAGCGGAGGAGGAGGAGGAGGAGGAGGAGGAGGAGGAGGAGGAGGAGGAGGAGATGCAGTCCTTGTTCTCCGCCCTCTGGCGCGCAGCGGTCCTGGCCTGGGCTCCCCCCTCGTCCCCCCCCCCTTCTTGAAGGGTGGTGGCAGCGATCGCCTCCCCCCCACCGTGCTGGTGCTCGCGCGCGTACTCTGGCGATCGAGGCGGTTTTTGTCCGTTTTCGGCCTCCGGGGGCCTTCGCCGGGCCTCGGGAGCGTCGAAGCAGGATGCAGGACGAACAACCGGTCCCGGGGAAGTGGTCGGGACCTCCGGGGCCCACGCAGCGAAAAGATTGGGGCAGCCGGATGTCTGGGTCCACGCCCCGACGTGCCCAGCCCCGCCCAAGCGTTGCCGTTACCCGGGGCCCCAACCCCTCGCCTTTCCCTGGGCAACGGCCGCTACCCTAGAAGTGATGAAGACCACCTCTTTGTGCATCCGAGTCTGGGGTTTGTCCACACCGGCCGCCTGGGAGGCCGACCTTCCTAGGCCTCGCCGGGCGGTGGACATGGACATGTTCGGCCCCCCTGGGGCCCAAACGTGTTCATGTCTACCGCCCCCTGGGGTCCTGGGGCATCGGTTCCCCAGGCGGTGTACAGTCGAGCATCTGATTAAGAAACCTCCTCCCGCAAAGCTGGGCCAGCGTTCCTCAACCAACTTGCTGGAAAGCTGCCCCAGATTCTTAAGCACGTTCCTCCCTCCATCGTAAACCCAAAAAGTTTGCCCAGGTCTGTGTGAAGAAAGTCCACACAAAAAAACTTATCCAGGTTTATTACACGATGATTTGCTTGATCAGAATTCCCGTTGCATATGGATCAACCCCTGCCTCGCACTACACCGCCACCACCATATCTGTCCAGGGCCATCCTGGGCCCCAGGATGTTGAATAGATCCGCCCAGCCTCGGCCAGGAGGGCGTACCCACCATGCACTACTCAGGTTGCCCCTGGCCAGCTACCTTCTGTGCATCCACGTTCCACCTCGCGCGAGTTTGCAAGGTCGAGCGCCCGCCAGAGGCCTGGAATCTGTCGATCTCGAGCGTTTTGCGCTTTCGCGATCGTTCAAGGTTGAGAGATCTGCGCGGTGTTAGAAATCAACGCCGCCGCATGCTCCTGTCCTCCATCCTTCTATGTTCCACTCGTCGCGCACCTCGCGCTTAGCATCCTCTCCGTCCTCCCTGCCACGGAGCTACGTGGATGCTGTATCATCTCTCCACGCCCGCTGACATGAACTCCGTCCAATTCCACTATTCGCACATACGCTCGCGGCCGGAGCCCCATGACTTGGATGAGGAGGAGGAGGAGGAGGAGGAGGAGGACCTGCACGATCGATGTGGAAGACGAGTTGGGTGATTGTAAGGGCTTCGAAGTGGTTCTCGGGGGGGGCCTGGACCCCTCACCTTCCCTGCTCTGGACAGACTCATCGGGCCTGGAACGACGCTCGTGCACGCCTGGGGTAGGGTGGGGGACGGACTGCATCGAGGGGAGCGCAGGGAAAAAGGCTGCAGGCAGCTGGGCGCACAGAGATGGTCCGTCCCAGCCCTCCCCGAGGGGCACCGGACTGCAGCCGGCAGCACAGGGACGGGGTGGGCGGAATCTTTGTCGCCATCGGCAGCGCTGGGGCGGCGCAAATCCCTGAGATCCGACGTCCCGAAAAACATGAAGAATCGTGAGAGATCACGGCCGTAGCTCTAGAGCCGATGTGTCTGCGTCATGTCTCGGGCCGGATCGATCTGTGAGGGCCCCGTGGCCCGAAGCCGTGCGAAGACGCCCGGCTCGAAAAAAAATTGCGTCGCCAGGATCTCAGGGGTCCCTGACCATGGAGAGCTGCCTTGGTGCCTGCACAATCAGAACGTGATGCGCCATCGGCAGCGCGGGGGCGGCGAGTCTCCCCCGACCAGAGAAGGCTGCCATGGCGCCTGCGCCCTAGTTCAGAGTTCGGGCACACGGCTGAGGCCCCGGAGCCGTTTCCCCAGAAGCTTGTCTCCCGACGGCAATGTCCCGTGAAAACAGCCTTCCCCCCCTCTCCCAGTCGTCTTTCCAGTGTGCTCCTGCTCCCGTCCTCCTCCTCCTCCTCCTCCTCCTCCTCCTCCTCCTCCTCCTCTCCTTCCCCTGCCCCCCTTTCCCCCGCCTTCACTTCACCACTTTGCCCCTCTTCGCAAGTATACAATATGAATTAGATTCTCCAATCTCCCTCGAAGATGGCAGGGGGAGTGTCCCACATTTCAAACGTTGATAGTTCTTTTTGGTTTTTTTCAATCGGGGCGTTCTTGGTGCCTCAAAATGGTGCTCCCGCTGCAGCGCTGGCCTCATTATTGGCTCAGCACGTTGCCCCCATGGTTCATGATGGTGCTCTCGCTGGGGCGGGCCACTTTTCCAGATCCGAGTGCTTCCTCATCGTTGTCGCCCCGCTCCTTTCCCCTGCCCCGCGTTCCCCTGCTCATCCTGCTCCCCCCGCTTCTCCCACTCCTGCTGCTGCTGCTCCCCCCGCTTCTCCCCCCGTCCTCGTCCTCTTTTCTCCTTCTCCTCCTCGTCCTCCTCCTCTCCCTTCTCCTTCTCTTCCTCCTGCTAATCCTCCTGCTCGCCCGCTTCCTCATCCTCCAATGTACCTTGGTCATCGTCTTATGACTGCGCATGATACAACGAAGAGCTTCTGGGGGTTCCAAATCCGCCATACAGAGAAACACAGCGTAATGGGAAGGAACGGGTAGGAGTGGTAGGATGTCAGACATCTCGCGAGCGCGCCTGGCTTACTCTCCCTCTCCTCCCCTCTCCCCTGCCCAGCCTCCTCCTCGTCTGCCTCTCCCCGCGTCCTCCCCGCGGCTCTCCGTCGCCACGCCCCCGTTCTGGCAGCAGGAGGCGGCGCGGCGGGGGGCCGAGGACGAGGAGAAGGAGAAGGAGGAGGAGCAGGAGGTTTGACTCGTTCCCGGGGTTTGTTTTAGCGGCAGGTGGCTTGGACGCCGTCCGCCTTCTTCTTCTCCATCCATATGTACATATTATTGTAGTATGATGTCCGATCGTACATTACCGTTTATGTTTGCTCATACGTGATCGGCATGTATGTTTTCTTACTTGATCATGCATACTCGTATATGTCATTGCATGGCCTTATGGTTTCATCATACTTTACCTTCGCATATAGCATCCAACCGTACACTATCATACACTATTTCATTATATTGCATCGTCTACCACATCATGGTATACTATATGCCCGTATATTATATAACACCATCGTGCAATACAATACCTTGCTGTGTCCAAACGTAGATGGTCCAGTCGTATCGTATTGTGTGTTATACTGGCCCACCGTGTGTTACAGTATACCGACGTGCATTCTACCACCGTGCCGTGTACCAGTTTATCTTATGCCATCTCATCTTAACTTACCATTGTTTACCTTGCGTTATCGTATGTTATACTGACCCACCGTATGTTACAGTACATCGTCGTGCATTCTACCACCGTGCCGTGTACCAGCTTATCTTACGGCATCTCATCTTACCTTACCGTAACTTACCAGGCAGTCTCGCACATAAGGTTATAGTTAAACTACCGTGGCAGATTCGCCTATCGTGTATGATCTTATGTCCTGTGCATCTCACCGCGCCCTCCCCGCCTCTCTCTCCCCTCTCGCTCCGCGTCCCGCCCCCCTCTTCCTCCTCCTCCTCCTCTTCCTCCTCCTCCTCCCCCTCCCCCTCCTCCTCCTCCTCCTTCTCCTCCTCCTCCTCCTCCTCCTCCTCCCTCCCTCCCTCGTCTCCCCCCCCTCCGCCGCTCCCTGTCCTTGCCCCCGCTCGCGCCCCTCCGACGCCGCCCTGGGCCCCTGGAATGCCTCCGCCCGCCGCCGCTACCCCCCCCCCCCTGGGCCAGGATGAAGAGGCCCAGGGACGCACACACACACACACGCACACACACAACACACGCACGCACGCACGCACGCACGCACGCACGCACGCACGCACGCACGCACGCACGCACGCACGCACCACACACACACACACACACACACACACACAC